AACTGAAAATAAATGTCACACTTTTCATTTGTTTTAATTAGATCTTTGAGATCCAAATTGTGCAAGAAAAAAAAATATTTCCATACCTGCCTACACAAAAACATAAATAAATAAATACACGAACCATAATATTTCTATTAAAACCTCAGAAGGGGACAGCTTTCCATCAGTTTCACCCTCCTCTCACTCACTCTGACGGCATCTAGATTAACTGCCGGGCTGACAAATCGTCAGAGCAGATTAGGAGAGGCTCAATTAGCTGCTAATAAGAATGGTGAGCTTGGCTATAAATGAGTGAGCCCACTTTAATGTCACTGTGTGCGAGTGAGCATCAACCGTACTGGAGCTCAGCTGGCAGGCTAGAGGAGGGGCTAAAACCTTAAACACCAAGGCACAGTGATCCACTTTCAATCTGTCCTTAAAGCATGGATGTTTGTGTGTTTGGCCTGACAGGACCAATCACTTCCACCTCTGTGAGCCGTCCTCGCTCTCATCTGTAGTCTCAATTCCTGTCGGCCTGCACTCAACTTTTTTTCCCCCCTGAGGCAGTGACTGACCTCAAGCGCGTTCTGCTTGTATTTATCTCCTCCATGAGTTCAAAGCAGCCAAAATTCAGCTTTTAAACAAAACAAACCAAAAAAGAAAAAAAAAGAAAAGTATTTTCTCTGTCCTCTTCAAGGAGCAATTAGATCATTTCTCCAAGCCTACCATCTAAAATGATAATTACTGACTTAGCTCTCCACAGCTGGGGGAATATGTGTTATTTTGGGTCACATGATTCCACTGTAATGCTCTGCAGCTGTTTAACTGTAGCTGACTCTGCGATTCAAACAGATGAACAGGCATTCAGGAGCATAGTCGCAGGGCACGCTTACTGTATTCTAATGCATTGCACAGCCTCAGGGTGAGAGCTCCTATTTCAGCGCTCCAAGAAAAAAAAGAAAGCAGTAAAGACTTTTCTTCAAAGAAAAACACAGTCAGCAAACCAGATGATGTTAAAGTCCTCAGATGGAAAATGTTATCATATGTGAACGTTCATTCAATATGTAGTCTTAAGGATACACAATAATTGCAAAAGTCTTCCCATCTCTTTAAGCATGCAGAGTCGTCTTGTGAGACTTTTTCTCTAACAGGGACAGAGAAGCCTGCCGAAGATGGAAGGAGCTAAAAACAGAGCAAGACTGGAAGACATCCTGTTACAGGCTGCAAAACACTGAGGTGCGTAAGGTGAATTCTCATTCAATGAGTCACATGGTGCGCTGTAGTGCTGTCTTGAGCTGTGATCGTGGAAACCATGCGATATAAAATCTTTAAAAATCTCAGAAAGTATAAATAAATAAAAAATCCTAATGGCCTAGTCAAAGTCCACACATAAATCTAGCTGAAAATCTGTGACCATAGTTTAAACCTGCTGTTTACAGGCTTACCACCTGATATGATTGGCTTTGAAATATTTTGCGCACAGAATGGGAAAATAAACACACACTATGGAAGTGAAGATTTGTGTGAGAAACACTAGAGATGCACATCAGATCAGCTATAAGCTCCGATTTAGATCTGATATCAGAGATCCTGTGCACTTTACATGGAGCTGTTGTATCTTTCTTTTTGCTGCTCATTTGGTAATAAATGATATATAATATATTTATATCTGCGTTAGTTGTGTTATCTTTTTTTAACAAAATTCAAGTCAAGGCTAAAACCACTCATATTGAAAGATATAAACTCGGTATCCTATATAGGCGGATAGGTATCGGTATCGGATTAGGAAAAACCGCATCGGTGCATCTTTAAGAAACACCCAGAATGACCTGTAGCATGACATTATACAATATTGAGTTTTTCTTTCCAGTTTACAATAATGCACCACTTTGCGTTGATTGGGTCAAAAAAAAAAAAAAAAAAAAAAAAAAGGTTAGGTTCCGTATAGAAAGTTAGCACCACAAGTCAGAACGTGAAACAAAAGTAGGAAAGAAATGAAACCGAGGGAGAAGTACACTACTAACTACACTGCGGATCTTCTCCGTTGTCTTAGAGCATGTGTAATGTTGAATATGTGGAAGGATGCAGCGGATAGAGCGGCCATTGTCTGTCAGCTGAGTGGACGCATGAAAGCCTTTGAGACACACAGACTACACCTCTCTAAAGACCAGCCTCACTGAAAGACTGAAAGAAAGACAGTATTCTTTCAGCATCAACCGCCCCGACACCAACCCTCCATCACCCACTCCAATTCCCCCCTAGTGTAAGTCTTCTCACCCTCTTTCCCCTCCCCCAGTCCACCCAGAATGAACGATTTCACCCTGTAAAAAGAAACAAACTCAGTCCCACACACCCCAAGGGGGGATCAGAGGGAGCTGAGTGGCCCTGCTTCTGTAAACGACACAAAGGGACATATACCCTCTGACACAGAAGACCGCCTTACTGTAAGTAAACATATAGCATAATGCTTTTCACATATAATGCACAAGCACACAATCAGGGCGCTCACTGACATGGAAACAGCCTCATCTTCTGAAATATGTCACTCTGTAATTAGTCTGAAAAGGGGGGTCCTTAAAATTCCAGTGGGCGCACACTGAGACACAAACATGCACAAAGGCGCTCAGTGAAACGCTGAATAGCTCACAGGAAGCGGCTATTTGGCAATTTAGCAGCACCTCCAGCGGCTCATGGAGCCTCCTCGCTCTCTCTTATGTCTAGCTAGTCTCTTTTTTTTTATCCCTCCAGTTCTCATCAACCCCCCACCCCCCGAACCCTTTTTTCGTGACTCTGGGTGCCTTCTCACGCTCAGTTCTTGAACTTCCACGCACCCCGCACCCCTCCTCCTCTTTTCAGTGCATGTCAGCAAACTGTGCAGATGGGGAGGTGCAGCACATGAAATGGGGGATTCTAAATGATGCGTCTCAGCTTTGTGGGAGCTGCCCTGGCTGAACTCCCCGGTGCAGAGACCTGCAAGTCACCTTGATCAGGAATTTAGCAGAACCAAACCTGAGCTTCACGGCAGTCATGAAACTGCCCTCAAAAGCAGCTTCTTCAATTAATAATTAAAAAATGACTAATTAATATTACTTTTTGAAGGAGCTCCTATTATTAATGCCCATACTTTAAATACAAAGGAATGTTAACATTGTGTGGACAATCCTCTGCCTACAGTTTTCTCCTATAGCTTCTGGTTCATATAAATAAATTATTATGAAAACAGATTATTGGTTAAAATGTTATAAGAGGAACTAAGATAGTTTCCCTGTTAAATTTTCAACAAGGTCTCAGCACAGAAAGTGAAGTTTGTCCAACTGACACTGTATCCTTTGTTTGGGAAAAGTTGCATACCATTATCTAACACTTTAAAAGAAAACCTGCTAAAAAAAATAAGCAGAAGTAGGAATCAGGAATGTAATTTCAAGATTCAGGACTTAAATTTCCACAGTACTCGGGTTATTTTCTGTTCATTCTAGACACAGAAAATAGAAGTTCAAGTTCAAATTTAGTAGTTAAAGAATTTCTGTGAAGGCAACAGAAGCTGTGAGAAGGAAGGAAGGAAGGAAGGAAGGAAGGAAGGAAGGAAGGAAGGAAGGAAGGAAGGAAGGAAGGAAGGAAATAACATAGAAGAGTTTTGTTTTCTTAAACTAAAAGATGTATCTGTCTCACGCACATCAATCTCCTCAAATAATAAATAAATGGTCAAATTGCTGAGTCAGCCATATTTATACACCAAACACTGTCATCAGACGTACCACCCCTCAACCTCAGGATATCTATGGACTGCTCTTTCAAAAATGCTTCAAGTTCCAGAAAGAAAACAGAAAATGTGTAATTTTAATAAGTCAGGCTTGTTTCTCTTGTCTGATCCGCAGCTTTTAACCCACACGTAGACATCCACAGATGTCTTTATGTAGAGTTCCGTTCTGTTGCAAAGAGGTCTGCATTTGAACATTAAAAGGGTTGCTGTTATTCTACCTTCATCCTCTCTGCCTATTAACCTTGAATCCTCTCAGAGCAGAGAGCATCCTCCTCTTCAGCCCACAGCTTGCAGGAAACTAGCAAATTCTAGAATATAATATTCCTTACTCTAAAACATCTGTTGTCAAGTTGCTTTAAACTCCATGCAAAGATTAATTTGAAATGTTTTTTTAAATGTTTTCCTCAGATGCAGGAGCTCTGGTTAGTTGGAGACACTTTTTTTCCCCAAATGTTATAATCTCAAAACAAAAGAGAATTATCCAATCTCAATCGAAACATGTTGCATTACCTGATGTTGTTTTAGACAAGGACTGTGCAAGAGTTTGCTTTATTTTATTTTTAACCTAAACTCTGTCAGCGTTCCACATTCCTGCTGGTCTGTGCTTTAGAACATAAATTCTGCCAAATTTTTAACTAAATGCTTTAAGCACTTAAATGATTTCTCTGATGGGATGAGTCACTCCCTTTCTTCCTCGCAGACGGCTGAACGACAGCAGATTCTATTTCAAATCTATTACATTTTAAGTTAACAGAAAATATGAGCTGCAGAGGAGTTTAAATATTCCTCCAATCTGGAAAGGCTTCCTCCACAAAGCTCCAGCCTGGAGGTTGAGGGTTATATCAGAAGAACCACCTGTCAATCAGGAATGTGTTGCACTGTAAATGCTGTGGCTTTATCTGTTTTTACCCTGATAGGGAGAAGAACAGAGAACATCCAGAGCAGAGTTAGGGGGATGGAAGCGTCCAATCAGCAAAGTAATTGTTTTTTTTCACTTATTTCTTCACCCGAATGGTTTGATGGTAACAGCTTTATTCTTTAAGGACATTTCATGCCTTTCACACAACACCTATCAATGCAGAGGTTGCCTACGATCCTATAGCTTAGAAAAGCCTCAAAAACCACTTAACCAGTCAGTCTGCAGCAAAATTACAGCGTGAGCACGACAAGAGGCAAGGATGACGAGGTGATGCTGCACGATGAAAAGGGTGACACGTTTAGAGTGGGTGGTAATCGTTCTCTCAGATTTTATTCTTACCTTCTGATACTCTGAGTCTTCCGGTCTGAAGTCGCTGCTCACCGTTTGGAACTCTAAGTTGAAATGAGGCAACCGATGGAGCAGATTCACCCACCAGGGCGGCGAGTAGTTCACCACAGCCGCCATCCTGACGCTGCTTCCTGCAGACGGTGACTTCGCTCGGTAGGCTGATCCTTCACGGAGACGCTGGAGATAAATTCACAGTCGACACAGATGCTTAATGTCACTTCTTCTAAAACTGTATCCTGCAGAAGCCTATATGGCACAATCAGGCAATAAGAACATCATTGCTCCAATAGACACCTGGAAATGTGCTGTGCTATCTGGCAGAAGGTCTTTTAGGTTCTGTAGGTTTGTCCAACACGTCCCATAGATCTCAGCTTGGACTAAGATTTGGAGAAAACACCTGAAACACTGGGGAAAAAAAATCAAAATCTAGATAAGTATTTTTTTTTCTTAAAATAAGTGCATTTGTTCTTGGATTGAGGAGGTATGGGAGACATTTTGCCAAAGGAACAAGACAATTTACACTTAAAATGAGAAAACACGATTGCATTGTCTTAATTCAAGTGCATATTATCTAATTATCTTATTTTAAGAGTAAAAATACTCATTTACCTACTCAAATTAAGAGTAAATACACTTAATTTAAGACATTTTTACTCATTTCTAGATCGTTTTTCCAGTGAAACTGTTGTGTTCCTCCGAGTTAACTTTTTTCACTTTAAAGCAGGAAAAACTTTGCATCTGCACCACGCCGCAGCCATTAAGAAGTGAAGTTTCACAGACAGGGCTACATGGTAAGCGACAACCCTTAGATTGAGTGTACATTTCAAACATCCTCATTCAGACGTGTCAGCCTTGTATTTCAGAGGCTTCTACGCTCCAGTGTGCCATTTTCTTCAGACGCTTCATCCCTCAGGATTCTGCCTAAAAGTTAGGATTCTCCCCTATTTTGCATACCCAAATGGAAAAGCAAATAACTTTGGAACTGTAAGCCCAAATGACATGTGTGGATACATTATTTGAAAGCCAAAACTTTCTAGTTTCTGAATATATTCATGAAAATTGGGTAAAACAACCAAGCTGCATCAGTTCAAACAAGACTTAAAGTTGTTTTTTTATTCTCGAAGAAAATAGGTTTATCTTCTTTGAACAGCAGTTATAAAGACATGCCTGTTTGTTGTGGCTGCCTTGTCATGGTACATTTTGACATGCTGCTATATCTGTGTTAATTGGTGCTCGCTATGTCCTTAAAATGAACTAGGTGGTTGAATTGTGGAACATTTTACCAGTGTAATTTTCATGCATTCTTAGTTATTATTTCTAAATGCTTTAAAACCGGTGGGTTTTGAGAGGTTTAAGTGCTTACTCAATTCTGCAGAAACATCTGCCAAGTAAAGGGCATTTAGAAAATTCAAATTCCAAAATTTAAAGCTAATGAATTACACATCATACATCCCAAAAGACAGACTACTCAGAACTACTTATTACAGGTAAGTCATTTCTCTATTATCACGTTGCCTTTGGGAGCTTTGTCTTCCTTTTCTGCAAGTAAGGGATGCACATGCAAGCAGCTGGCGAGAACATAAAGGAAAACGTGACTTGTCAGAAAAGGCCACCTTGTTTTATCGCTGCATGGTCCAATTCAAATGCTGGCATGCTCATTACTGGGTGGTGGGCAGGGATTGGCATGAGCACCATTACTGGTGTGCAGCTGTGCAGAACCATCAGAAAATCAGAAAGAAAACCTGTGATGCATAACTATCACTAAAACCTTTTCACATAAAAAAAATTATATTAACTTTTCCTGCTATTTGAGCTATGATGCCTAATTTTTTCTATAGCCTATGTTTGGACTGATGCTCACCACTGCAGAACAGGAACACCCCAACATAAATGCATGTTTTAACCCACAATGTACCCCTAATTTATCATGATTTAATCATAATGCTCATTTTGATCCAAATAATAAAAAATAAAACAGAACATCAAATGTTAGGACAAAATGTTCAACAGCAGTCTGTTATTTATTTTACACCTTATGCCCCATCAGTGTGTGATGACCTCATCATACAAAAGATATGGAAAATCATACTCTAGATTTCATATTTCTAATATTTGACGCCGATATAAAAGTGAGGATTTGCAGATATAAGAAGCTGCGTAGTTAAAACGACATTTTTATTCGAAATGATGACATTTATAAACATTGATGAGTGATGTCTGGTGGGTTTTAGTCAAGATACATAATGTAGTGTAACCAGAGTCATTATAGAGGACATCTTTCTATGGATATTAACTATTAGAGCAGGAAATGAAGTGAAATGATTAATGGATGGGGGAGAAAATGATCACATCTATGCGGATGTGGCAAAAGCTCGGTTGGCATCGGATTTAAATGGGGGAATTTGTCGTTAAAGGGCAGAAAATGGAAAATGTAGCACATGTAGGTCAGCTCAGTCCGGGCTATCCTCTCAGGGACACGATGAGAGCTTATTTATTACCAGTCGATAAGACAAAAAAAACGTTGGAAACCCCGGATTAGCTCCAGCTCCAGCCTGCTTAGCGACCATTAGAACTACCGCAGTGTCGCCAAGGCAACAAGGAGAGGAATAATGTCGCAAATTGCTGCTTTGTGTTGAGGAATAAAGCTGTAATATCACCTACCTAGAGAGGGGGAAAAAAGGCGAATGCAGGCTGTCGTTCAGCGGCGTCCTTCGTCTGTGTGGGAGTCCGGAGCGCCGTGGACTTCACCTCTAGTCTGCTGTGGTCCCGCGGTGCTGGATGTGAAGACTAGAAGCCGCTGCGGCATCAGCGCGGCCGGACCGGGCTGGATGCGACGAGCCAGTCGGCTGGAGACCCGACCGCATTGAAAGTATCACTAAAACCTGCTCGCATTTCCTCTGCAGCCTTACCGCTTTGTCTGTCCTTCCCCTGTGGAGGATTAGGGGTTAAAATTCTTGACCCGCAGCCCAGTTATCTACTTATTTATTTATTTTAAAGCTTGTCGATGGTTCGGTTCAGCTGGTGTTGTTGGAGCATGAAGCAAACAGCGTTTGTGAAAAAAAGCCCCGGAGGATGGATGGGGCTTTGCGGCAGCTTTGCCTCTCAGACCGTGCGTGTATGTGCAGAGCAAATGCGCAAAAAGGGCTCCCCCTGATGGTAATATGGTGGTATTACAATTAAGAAATTCTATTCATTTTGTAAGAAATTAATAAAATAGAATAGAATAGAATAGGCAACAAAGTCATACAGGCACAAACAAGGCTTTAAGATTTAAAAATAAAAAAAGTTAAATAAGTTTAAAATGGATTGTTTGGGAACGTAAAAAAAATAGTGTCTGACCACAAAAATTACATTACATTACCCAAGGGTGAAATTTAGGGCCCCTTTTATTCAATTTCTACGTTCTCCTCCTAGCTCAGTGCCCAATAAACCATGGACTTCAACGTTTTCCAGGCCAAGGACCCCCAAACTGATGGTGAGATGGACTGGGGACCCCCTAATTACATATATTGTATGAAATTGTGTTATATCAAACTGGTCCTAAAATCACTCGATTACATATGGAGTAATGTAATGACAGTAATTTCGCCCTGGGATTATTAAAGTATTTCTGATTCTGATTCCTCATTGATTGGACAGGTGTTGTGAATGAAACGGTTCAACTGAAGAAACTCATCTCTCTCCTACATCCACCTACGACACAGCCAATCAGCTTTCACCATATGCTAATTTTGTGAGATAGGAATTTTTGGTTTTCATGAGCTGTATGCCAAAGCATCTGTATTAAGACAATAAAAGACCTGAAATATTCTATTCAGTGTGCAATGAATCTAAAATATATGAATGTTCAAGTTTTATCATTACATTATGGAAAATATTGAACTTTATTTACTAATATTTTGAGAGGGACCGGTACATTTCCATCACTGATGCAATGCGCTCCAAGTGTTTCAAATTCTCCCTTTGGTTTCTATTTGGACAGTTACTGTTCAGATACATTCTGAAGAGTTTGAAGTTTCGCTTGTTTTAGGAAATACACAGATATTAATCCATTTTCAAATTTAAAGCAGCTTGAACCGTAACGACCCCTCAGGACATCCGGGATGTGTTTTCTTAGTGTCGTCCGGACCAGAACTAAACAGGGTCTCGCAGGATTTAGTCTTCATGCTTCAGCTCCACAGCCACAACACAAAATAGCTGTGATGTTCAGAATGTATCTATCGGCTTATTATAGTAAGAACTGGAAACAATACTGCTTACTGCAGCATTTCGGTCACGGTGAAAGCTTTTTTTTTTTTTATTAGTTTAGCAATTCTTTCTATTCTTAATTTTTTTTAAACAATGTTTTTAATTTCATATATGCATTTCAAAAGTGTTATTGAATGCATTTATCATGCTTCCTTTTTATCACGGTAGAGGGCTTTAAATGATTACACGCAAATCTTACGCGAACAGAACTGTAAAAAATAAAATCATCTTAATGACTAATTCTTTTAAACTTATTCTAAATCAAGAGATCACATGATACAGTTAATGGAAAACAAGACTTTATTGAGATTTTGTTGTGAAAAAAGCAATGTAGTAGTAAAAATAACATTTCATCTAAAACAACTTATAACAAAAAACACACGAAAGAGCCTCATAAAATTAAAATAAAAAACGATCTGAAACTAAATTTTTAAGGGCATGACTTAATTGAACGCCTCGCACATTAGGTTATATCCTCGGAATGAGGACTGCAGTCATCAGTTCTTTTCTGATAGCTTTACAAATCAATGCTTTCCTTAGAGCAAAGCTTTTAATAGAACTACACATCCACCCTGGTTTCCTACATCGGAATGACAGTTCAGTATTGCAGTAGAGTGATTTGTCGTTCATTCACAGTTTGGCTCAGCAGTGCATCAGATGAGACTCGGTTCACACCTCTAGGTCATGATTATTTTGTAGGATCATCTGCATGGTTTTCATGTCAGGCATTCTGACACACAATCAGGTGAATTTACAGTAATACGGGTCGCTGCAGTATGATTAATCAGGAGCAGCTTCTTCAGCAGTAAAACCAAAGAATCGTTAATGGCTCAAAATTATATAAAGAAAAACTATAACTAAACTTTTAATTATTGATTCTTTTAAGAAGCCAATATGTTCATTATTTTTCTCATATAAAATTTAATTTATAAGAAAGCGTATGAAGGACGTCATGATAAAACATAAAAGAAAAAGAGTGTGGAAGATCTAATGTAATAGGACTTCTCTCCTTCTCAGTGGACGTGACGGAGATACAATGATTTCATCTGAATCATCGGATTCGACTCCGGTGTCTGCATCCAACTCTGCCGTGGAGCGGGGATGTCTTTGAGCTATGAAGAACAGAAAAGGTATTCACAGCTTAGACTATGCAAACCAGATGTTACCAACCAAAGTTCATGTGTGTGTGAATCTAAAAATCAAATGAGGAAAGGTGACGTCTTGTTTTCTCCTCTAACCTTGTGCGTGTGACCTGCCGGAGACAAAAGGGTTTGTGACAGGATTGAGGTCTTCTTCCTTTTTGGTGTTTTTACCAAGATAATCAGAACCTTGACCAAAAAAAAAAAAAGAAGAAGAAAAAAACATCAGTAACTTCTCTACTGTCACAGGAAATCATCACGAACCTGAGTGGAAACCAAACAATTTAACAAAATAATAAAAAGTAAAAAAAAAAAAAAGAAAATCTGAAGGTCCGGTTCAAAATGTTCACCCAGATTCTGTTAAATGTTAAATGTGAAACTAATAAAAAACATCTGCTAGAAAGAGTAATATGGACAGCAGAAAAAAACTGCATGTGTGAACCACCTTGAACTAATACTGTTAATTTCCCCTTTCAGTATTTAAAACAAAGATCTAAAAGCCTGATGTGTCTTTACATTTATGAACTAAATCGATCAGATTTTAGACATCTCTTGTCCACATCCCACTCCACATGATATCAATATCATCTGTTTCATTTATTTCTAGACTCCAGAACTAAGAAAAGCTTCTTTATTACCTCCTTTAGACTTTTAAATCCCTGTGAAGCTACTCCTAACAGATCTCCTGTGGCTTCTTCTATACAACATTACATCTGCAGTCTAGAAACATGTTCTAGTTTGGAGGCACATGTATATGGAAAATAGAGTTTTTTAGCAGCGTTTATGCCTTCCCCCCATTAGCAGCCTCTTATATCAGTCCTATCTTGTTTTTTTTTGTTCTCGTATAACTGACTGTATGTAAGAACTAAAGAAGACAACATGCTGTGATGAAATAAGAAGGTGCATCACTACGGATTCAATTGAGGGTTTTTGCCCTTAAGGAACCAAGTTATAACACCTTATTTATTGCTTTTTTTTGTTGCAAAAAAAGAAGAAGAAAAGAGAACTAAAGCCCCACCTTTGCTCCAAAATTGCTAAAGTGGTGCATTGCAGACTCACTTAAGTGAATAAGTCACATGTCAAACACAGCAGCAGGCTTGTAAGCATGTATAGAATAAGCTGAGCTCAGCATTTTGCTCTGTGGACCCAAATGCTGACCAAACCTCTGTGATTTAACGCTAGAGGAACCAGGGAGTCCCTGAAAGCTCAGTGAGACCTTCTGGTCAGGTCTTAGATAGCAATCTTTACAGGTCATAAGAGATAGCATCATTAGAGGCTGGCAGGTCTGCTGAGTGCCATCATCAGTCTTTTACCGCAGACTGTCAGAGGTCTGGCTGCTGCAGAGGAGCGCGCCGTCATGGAATTAGATAAGCACTTCAGGTAGATCCATCACTACTCATAAAGGTGTCAGGGGAGTAATGAAGGGCAATTCTTAGCTTTAGAGTACAGCGTTGCACACTTTAGTATAAATCAAGGCAGAAGCTCGACTCGGGCTCAAGGTGGTTCCAACTGTAGTATAATTCTTAATGTGGATGAATTATCTTTGTATCTCCACACTATAAAAGAGTCCACCATCATTAGAGACAATACAAATTATACTGAGATGTTGAGATTAATTCAGACGGAGAGTCGCAAATATACAGGAGAGACAGAAAACATCTGCTGTGCCTCATCTATTAAAAGATTGAATCTACCACTAGAAATAGTTTCAGTGAGGAAAAGGAATGTAGTCAACAAACAGGGGATGTAATAATAGGAAAACATACATAATCTTAAGTTATAGTACCTAGTGGATCAACTCTTTTTGTTTATCGCCTTAAGATTTAAAAAAATATATTTTAGAGGAATTCTAACTCTCTCTAATTTACAAAATGTCTCCAGACATTAAATTCTGCAAAACCTTCTGAAGGTCCAACAAGAGCATTTAAATCGGTTTCAAGTCTGGATTCTGACTTGATTCCCTTTATTTCCAGACATCTGTTCTTCAATGTTTGCTGCTGTTGTGATTCGCTGCCCTGCTGATAATCCTGTTTGGGTCCAGATTCAGCTATCAGCTACATGGCCTCACATTTGAAACTAGGTTTCTTGCAAAGCACTCAGTGACTTTGTCAGATCCTGTGGTTTCAAACTAACCAAAATCTTCAAGCCTTAACACTAGAGTTCGACGATTAGTTCAAGGGATTTATGAGAAAATTTTAAACAATATTATTTACTGAACATCACTTTTACATTAAAGGAAAATATTTCAGAAGTATCCTAACAATCTTTCTATAGATTCTGTGAAATGAATCTGAACAAAATGCTAAACAAGGAATGTAGTCAGAGTGAGTTCTTCTTGTCTTTTCTTTTTTTTTTTTGCAGTTTGTCAGATGACTGTGCTGCCAGATATTGGACTAGTTTTCTGGGAAGATAACTATCAATTTTAAAATAGATGCTTCTTGAAAATACTCTCTCAATTTAGAATGATGGATTCATATTTTTTTGTAAATCATCTTTCAACTGTTTTAAGATTGATGGCTAGCAACAGTTATTTAAATCCCATTAATTCTGACGTGTTTCTACCAAACAGTAAAAACCTCCTGCTTTTATATCCGGTTACAGTTGCTAATGATCAATGAAAGGTGTATTGGACCCTAAATGCACCAGGGAGCGTTATCACAGATCCTTCCTCTCAGCAGCTGTAAGACTCTTTAACCATCACCGTTCCCAAC